AAAAAAAAAAAAAAAAAAAAAAAAAAAAAAAAAAAAAAAAAAAAAAAAAAAAAAAAAAAATGTCATTTCGGATCCTCCCGATCCGCTACCGGTGCTTTTAGGTACCTCAAGCACCGGTCACCGTTCTCGTCGAACCCGTCGCTTGCGACAAAGGTCTCGACGAGTAAATTAACCCTCAAACACAGCCCACTGAGTTTCTCGCCGGATCTTCTCAGTGGGTCGCGTTTCCGATCCGATGGTAGATTCTGCGAAGCACGGCTCTTGCTAGGGTTCGTGTTAGTAGGGTCGTCAGGTTTGAGCCCCGTGAGCTCACCTACTAGTTAAGGTTCCGCTGAAATAGCCTCTCAAAGCTATCAGCTTAGGTAGGAAAAAAAAGCTTCAATTTTTCATATAGCAGAATATATACATATTTGTACTGTAGTATTTCTTCTTCTTCTTTATTTTTTGGCTCCGGCACAGTTTGTGCGTTAGCCAGCGTCAAGTAATAAGAGTTTTATAATTCACCATTTTAATTATTTAAAGTTTATGAATAATAAAAAACGAAGGAAACTAATCGCGATATAACATAAATGAATAAAAACGAATTAAATTTACAAAAAAATCAGAATATAATCTCAGTAAAATGGTGGTCATTTACTGAGACTTTTTCAGTTGACTTTTTGGAGGATCCCGAGAAGTTACGTCTAGCGGCTTTTTTATTTTCCCACATTTGTGCACTTTCACAGATACTAAGCAGTTAATAAACCACTGTTATTACACATTTCAACCTGAAGAAACATTAAATAGACAAAATAAAACAAATCACACAACTTCACTCCTCGCTTTCCCGCCAAAACGTCAAAACAGTCGGTATGTGTAATAATATTTAATAGCTGAACATTTTATAAAATCGACACTGGCAACAATCCTATACCGCAAGAAGCCAATTCCATACTTAAAAAAAGTTGGAGATAAATACTTTCTTTTATTAATTTTTCCCAGCGAAACGCGATAGGTTTTTATTTACTTATTTTAACGCCCTAACAGCCCTGATGGAAATGCAAACGAATAGATCGTGCCCTCATGTATGTACGCATCACCTGGTCTTGAACTTAGTTGTTTTAAAACAGATAAAATGCATCCATTTTGATTATTGTATGTGGAGAAAGCATAAGTTGAAACTATAGTGAGGGGTAGATCTCAGGGGTATTTAAAACTATGGGTTAGTCACCAATATCGAATTTCGAATTTTAATCTTCCTTTATCACAAACAATTTTCAATTTTTAAACAATAATTACATTTAGACGCGGGCGCACGCTATTCACACTCAAAACGGAAGCGCCCGGAACATAGATTATACACTGTTGAAAAGATCGACATAGATGCTAACTATGTATAGCGAGCGGGCATACGGCCGCGAGAGTGACGTACCGGTCGGTTTGCTACATACTCCCCCTCTAGTCCTGGAGGACGCCCTCGCTCCTGGANTTCGCGACGTTGCTGGCGATCTTGATTTCTAGTTAAAGGCATTCTTTACAATTAAGCACCAACAGCATACAATAGTTAGCAAATTTTTCACAAAAGCGTGCGCGCCATTTTGTTAGTCCAAGCAAGAAAAAAATTAGGAAACGTTGGGCAGCCAGATATAGTGAGGGGTAGATCTCAGGGGTATTTAAAACTATGGGTTAGTTACCAATATCGAATTTCGAATTTTAATCTTCCTTTATCACAAACAATTTTCAATTTTTAAACAATAATTACATTTAGACGCGGGCGCACGCTATTCACACTCAAAACGGAAGCGCCCGGAACATAGATTATACACTGTTGAAAAGATCGACATAGATGCTAACTATGTATAGCGAGCGGGCATACGGCCGCGAGAGTGACGTACCGGTCGGTTTGCTACAAAACTATATTTGTTTGTGCTAATCAAAAACAAGCAATTGTTATAAACACGCTAGGCTGTAAACACGGATACCTTACAACTCATGTCTCGGGGTGGGTGGCGGCATTTACTTTGTAGATGTCTGTGGGCTCCGGTAGCCACTTGACATCAGCCGTGAGCTCGTTCACCCGTCAAAGCTATATAAAAAATAATTGGAATGAAGCACTGAGATATTGGTTTTTTTGGAGCATTGCGTCCTGATTTATCGGACTTTTGTTCATTATTGCTGTAGATAACGAGTTCACGGTCAGTCTCATGTTAAGCGATTACCACGAGCCCCAATAATACCAGCAATATGTCTGTAGGGAATATCCTCCATCCAGCCGGTGATATTGCCAAGTAGACCGATGCTTATGTTTGGGAGGGAGGGAATTCCTGATGGCCCAAAGGCCAGGGCAAGTCGTCGTGGCCTAAAGTATAAGACATCCGGTGCATTCGTGTTGAGCGATGCACCAATGTTCGAATCCCAGGCGGGTACCAATTTTTCTAATGAAATACGTACTTAATAAATGTTCACGATTGACTTCCACGGTCAAGGAGTAACATCGTGTAATAAAAATCAAACCCGCAAAATTATAATTTGCGTAATTACTGGTGGTAGTACCTCTTGTGAGTTCGCACGGATAGGTACCACCACCCCGCCTGTTTTTGCAGTGAAGCAGCAATGCGTTTCGGTTTGAAGAGTAGGGCTACCGTTGTAACTATACTGAGACCTTAGAACTTATATCTCAAGGTGGGTGGCGCATTTACGTTGTACATGTCTATGGGCTCCAGTAACCACTTAACACTAACTGTGAACTCGTCCATCCATCTAAGCAATAACAAATAATTTAAAATCTATACTAATATTATAAAGAAGAAAGATTTGTTCGTTTGTTTGTATTGAATAGGCTCCGAAACTACTAAACCGATTTGAAAAATTATTTCACTGTTTGGAAGCTACACTATTCCCGAGTGACATAGGCTATAATCTTTTTTGAAAAAAATTAGGGATCATATTCTAAAACTCCAATAATGTAACCCAAGATGTAAAAAAAATACCTAAAATATTCTTTGTATCGCGTGCCCTGCGAAATCTATTGATGATAGAATAAAATAATGTACTTTGACTTGACTTTATAGAACACATTATTATTTACAAAAAGTGTCACGACAGCATATATCTAGCTATTATATTATAGTTATGCCGCAAAAAATATTCTTTTATTTAAAATAATAAAACAACGTCAAATGTCGTTGAAAATTTTGTCATATTAATAATTTCTAAAATTAGACTTAATTTGTTATTACAGAAAATTGTCTAGATCCAAACGAGGAGTATGTCTGTCGGTACGGATGCGAGCCAAGCTGCGACAGTCGTCCTTGTACAAAGCGACCCAGACGATGTTCTCTGGGCTGCTATTGCAAGCCAGGACTTGTGCGTCATAATCACACTAAGCGATGCATCAAACGCGAACATTGTAGCTCCATCGATACAATAAAAAAAACTGTAAATTAATAAAAATTGTTTTACGCTTTTATGCTTAGATGTTTTTTTATTGATTTGTATTGAAAGAAAATTAAAAAAGAATCTCTCCGGCGGGGAATCGAACCCCGGTCTCCCGCGTGACAGGCGGGGATACTGACCACTATACTACCGAAGACCTTGTGAGCGATGTGTAATTTATGCATTACTTAATAACTAAAAACTTCTGTTTTAATGAATTATGAATTAGAAAAAAATGAATATTATTTTTTAATGAATGGATATCATCGATAAAGCCATGTAAGGAGTACAATGTTAAAAAAAAGCAACCGCTCCACTTTCTATAATAATAGGCTACCTATTGATTAAGTCACTAAGTACCGAAAAGAATGGAGTGCACATAGTACCTACCTACCTACACTTATTATTTAAGAGAGGAAGTGTATTTGAAAAGACGCACACTCAGCATTGGGTGGACGCAAGTTGAAAAAAGAGATGTCACTATCAAGTAGATTACATTTTCAATTACACAATTATATAAAATTAAACCTTTATTATATAAATTACATTTTATTACTTCCGACGTTTGCAATACCTACTTTACCCTTTACGTCGTCTCGCACGATATTAAGTGTATACAGTATAATCTATGTGGATGACCAAGATGATATTCGTTGATTAGGTACCGGCTATTTTCAGTACACTTACTTATTTACTTACACTTAAAATTTGAGACAAACTAAGATAGGTACACAATATCGGTCAGAGTTAAGGACACATTGCGAACGTCAAGAATAACCGAGTACAAAGTTTGTAGTTTGTCAAAATTGTCTCGAAAGTGATGTCAACATCTAAATCATACACGCAGCTTCGCTCCGTTCCATGTCAAAAAGTCCTGGGATCCTTTTATCTGCACGATGACAACCGAAGTACAACAAACAGCCTCAAGGTCTGGCAACTATTAGTTCGTTCTGTATAAAATGGAACATGAATATCTAGGAAATATATATAGAAAAATAGACGTTAGTTATCACAATTTTCTAAGTAAATGTCGAAGAATAAAGTATTAATAACTATGACGAATAACACTTTAGTCGTCTGTGACCACGAATAATGAAAAGTATTCGAATCGGTTGAAATAATATAATGACAATAAAACGCGAGATTAAGCCGTAATAGTAGTTTTTAATAAGTCTACTTAATGCAAAACCGAGAGAAATATTAAATTAGTTTTTTATAAGTCTATTTTTCTAAAAAAATAACTATAACCTAAAAAAAATATTTTTTATTTAACTTTCTAACTTCACTCTTCGAGATCCTGCGAAAAACCCTTGAAAATACTAGATACCAGCTCTTGCCTCATCGAGCTTTATTTAACTTTCTATTTAATTTCTTTATGGAGGATAGGGGTAAGGAGAGCCGTCTCTGTGTGAAAAAGTGTCCATTAAAATCTGCTAAATAAGGGTGGCGCTACAGTAGCATCCGGGTAAATTTAAAAAAAGGCGCTAAAAGCTATAAGAATAAGATAGAGAAATAAAAAAGGACGAAATAACTGTAAGCCCTACAAAATCACAAAAAGTATTTTATTTAAAGCTGATAAGAAAATACAATCTTTTTTTTTTCGATGTCTGCACGTTTTACTACCTATAGTAAAAACTTTAGGTTATATATTGACGAAATTAGTTTGGACTAGTAAACATGTGAGGTCTTGTATATTACACTGTCACTAACTACTCTAGTCATTATATATAATAAACCTAACTCAGCATATCTCAATCAGTTAACAACTGCTCAATTCATATCATACCCTGTGCCTATGCTAGCGTCATTCTGGAGGATTTTTGAACTATTACTTAGTGCTGAAAGTGAGACACCCACTTCTCCCATATGAGACGGTTCTCCTTACCTCTACCCTCTATACCAAGCCTGGGCAAACGGCGGCCCGCAGGCCGAATCCGGCCCGCTCTAGAATTTTGTCTGGCCCGTGAAGCATTGTATATATTATTATTAAAAACACAAATATTAGTTTTTGACTAACATAAATTGGTACATAATTTTTTTTGATAAAATATTATGCAATACATAAATACACATTATCAGGGCGCGTGGGAGCCAAAATTTTCTCCCGGACAACGGCTCTTTTCAGCGCCTCCTATTCGAAAAAATAATTACAGTATGTTTATTAGTCGCACAATAAAATTAGAAAAAAAACTGTTTGGCTCGAGGTCAAATTTTCATCTGCAATGTGGCCCGACTATCAAAATATTTACCCACCCCTGCTCTATACATTTCTTGTAGCATTTGACGTTTCATACAAACCAAATGAACTTGGCCATAGATTATACACTTAATATATTCGATTGGCCTTTGGTTACAAAAATATTGGTTTTATCCTTATGGACTATGATCCCTTTACCTGTTCGGTGGATAATTAATAAGCAAAAACAATCATGTTTTGATTGTCGTTTTGTTTATTTTATTATTAATTATTTTACGATTTATTTTAATGAAAGATGAGTGAGAAATTAAGAGAACTACGCGAGAGATCTCAAAAACGAAAAAAGCTTCTAGCACAGACAGTAAGTAAGCATCAATTTAATTTAGTTTTAAATACATAAAAAAGGTTTTAGTCCATGACAACTGTTATTTCTTCAGTTAGGTGTCTCGAGTGTGAGCGAATTAAGACATGCGTTGGGTTCAGCTCTAGACGTACCTGTTAAAAAACAAGCTGTGTCTGGAAGCGGAGGTGAAGGAGATAAACCCACCAGTAAGGACCAACCGGATGAACTTGTATACACCGACTCCTCTACATTTTTGAAGGTTTGTTACTTTTTTTGTAATTAAAGATGTCGAAGCAGTTAACAGAAATTCTAGAGTATTTTAAAGGTTAAGACCTTGTATCTATCGGCAAATTAAATATCTTTCCTAATGACTAACCTCAATCTACCCATGCAAAAAACTGTAAACTAATTGATCAAAGTGCTCTGATAGATTTTCATAAGTGGGTTTATATTCATTTATTATTTATCTTGATTTGTGTATAGTGTACTTGGCTGTATTAAATGTATCTACCACTTAAATCATTCACAATACATTAGTAAGGGGTTATGATTTTATGATATACACATTGAAGATTGACTTATTGTGAACAAATTCATTTTTATACAAATGTTGGTCACTCTACACTGTGAATTTAACAATGATAAGTGTGTTATTGTGATATATTATTGAAAAGAGCCAAGGGACACTACAATTTCATACTAAAATTGATTTCAGGGCACGCAGTCATCAAATCCTCACAATGACTATTGCCAGCACTTTGTTGACACAGGTCAGAGGCCACAAAACTATATCCGAGATGTTGGTCTCGCTGACAGGTTTGAGGAATATCCGAAATTACGTGAACTCATTAAACTGAAAGATGATTTAATTGCGGAAACTGCAACACCACCTATGTATTTGAAATGTGATCTCAAGGTAAATAAATAAAGTATTATCTGATGACTCTCCCTGGCTAGGTGGTGTGATGACCTCCGAACGGTGGCCGACAAGAAGTGGATGAGAAGAGCCGTAGACCGGGCTCAGTGGTTTGGATTGGGAGAGGCCTATGTCCAGCAGTGGACGACTATGGGCTTTTGATGATAATGATGACGATGATGATGATGATGATGAATTAATGATAATTAAATATTGACTTTCTGATTTGCTTCATTTTTGGTATAAAAAAAATAAAATCCAGAAGAACTAAAGTAAATAAGTTAGATTTTGCAAAAACAAAGCAGTACATAATCCATTTCGGTTTGAAGGTCGGAGCAGCCTATATTGTATTGTAACTATACTGAGACCTTAGAACTTATATCTCAAAGTGGGTGGTGCATTTACGTTGTAGATGTCTATGGGCTCCAGTAACCACTTAAAATCCGGTGGGCTGTGCGCTTGTCCACCCATCTAAGCAATAAAAAAATATTCAAATGTCAGCAAATAATATCTTAGTTATTCTTGACAACGGAAACTGTAAAGTATTTTAAATCGTCCCAAATATTATAATGACGATAAAAACCGTAAGATTAAACTGTAATAATACTTTTAAATACTTTATTCCCTTCCAATATTTAAGAACAAAATTATAAAAAGTTGTTGTTGAACCTCAGCCTCGGCCTTGGTCTGAGTACTCGGGTATTACTGTCCTGGTTGTCTTTCTGTTTTTAATTTTTTATTATTATTTATAGTATGTTAAATCTCTATTAATATGTTAATGTAATGCATGCTGTGATTACCTATAATTAGAGTTGCAGTTATCAATTGCTCTAAACATGTCAATGTTATTTTATGTCTTACTGTAAACCCTGTCGGTAATCCTTAAATAAATAAATAAATAAATAAACATTTCTACCACACGCAAAAACCAGGGAAAATAGTGCAGTCGCCCAAATTGTAGATATTGAATTTTGACCACTTTGATCGTAATCATCACAGTTTGATCCATGCTGTTGAATTAACAGCCATACTATCATAACCAGAAATGTTATCATTACCACCGTCTATCTATGCTCAGATATTTTTGGTGTGAATTGTTTGGCTATCATTAATTTTTCATTTAACTTAGCACAATGCTTAGACAATTTGTCGGGAAGGATTCTGGCTGTAATGAATGAAGCTGTTGGGCTTAATGTAAAATGTTTACTCACTTATAGACATTGCTAATGTATAGGCCACAGCAAAGTTACTACTTACAGTGTTCTACAGAAAAAGGGATTTGAACATAATCCTTATATATAATCTTCATACACAATGCTGTAGAAAACACAAAGGTGACTAGTGGTGTAGTGATAAAATGGTGATATAATTATGTATCGTCCAAATTACTTTGTGTACAGAATTTGTGCGGTAATAATATTTAATGCGGTAATATTTAACTCATCTTATTTGATTCACATTTTAAGTCAAATAAGTAACAAAAGCTTTGATGAAAGCCATCAGTACTTAAAACAAAAAAAAACAATAGGAAATTAAAAAAATCAAAAGCATTATTTCAGACTTTTGATCTAAAAGACATGGCTAACAAATTCGATGTAATTCTCGTGGAACCTCCTCTGGGCACTGGATGGAGATGGGAAGATGTCTTAGCTCTTGAGCTCCAGCAGATAGCACAGCCAAGATCTTTTGTATTCCTATGGTGTGGAAGCTCTGAAGGTATATTCTTCAAACCTAGAAAATTATTTGGTTGTGATTTGTATAACTAGTACATACTACACATTGAATACTGTATAAACTATTGTATGTATGTATGTATGTATGTATATATATGTATATGAGTATTTGTATCTATGTGTGTATGTATATGTGTATGTATTTGTAACTCAATATAAATTTCATTGCGCCTATCACTATTTACTCTGCACCACCTTTGGTTGACTGGTAGAGAATGCCTTAGGCATTAAGTCCGCCAATGTAAATTTTACATGAAGTGTAATAAATAAATAAATAAATACATGCACATGGTGAAAACATAACTTACTTTTAATTTTACTTATTCATTTTACAAAAGCTATCCACATAAACTGTAATGAATTTGAAAGTATAACATTTTTAAAGTTCATTAACAATGCCCATGAGCATTGAACGACAACTCTTCATCAGGTAAGCCAGAGTATAGGTAAGCCTCTTTTGAAGCCAACTATCTCATAAAGTGTTACTACTCTTGATTTATGACAGCAAGAGAAAAGTCCAGTCCAGTATACTAATACTGGTAATACTGGTAATACAAGGTAATAATTGGTGCACTCAGTAATGTGGTTCATACCTGGGGTGACAAATTTTAGAAGTAACCTTATACCTCACCCGTTCACAAATAACTTTGACAAACATCTTAAATGCATTAATGAAAAAAAACATTTATTACCTTTTACACGGAAAACACTTAGATTTTTACGGGTAAATAAAAAATAAATAAGAGGCGAAAGGAGATACCACAATACCAATTTTCTGTGCATATCGACCATAGAGAATTTTCTTAAAGATTTCTACAAGATAATTCACTCCTTGGGTGGGACATCAATTATTTCTCTGCCAAACAATGTACCAAACAGTGGTAAGGAGCGGCCAGGCTCTGCCCTTAGTATTACTGATCTCCACAAGTGATGGTGATCATACATCTCCAGTGTGCCGTACGCTTGTATACCTGCAAAGGCAATTAAAATTTCTAACATTACAATTTTTTTTTATTTCCTTTGTAGGCAGAAGAGCATACGGCCCACCTGATGGTTAGTGGTTACCGTCGTCCATGAACTGCAGCAATGCCAGGGGCAGAGACAAGCCGCTAAATAACTTTACTTTAATCTAAAAGATCAGTAATTCGGCTAATACACAATTCTAATTCAGGTTTAGATATGGGCAGGGAATGCCTAAAGAAGTGGGGCTTTCGTCGTTGCGAAGACATCTGCTGGATCAAAACGAACATAAAGAATCCGGGGCATTCGAAAAACCTCGAGCACAACGCGGTCTTCCAGCGAACCAAGGAGCATTGTCTGATGGGCATCAAAGGCACTGTCCGGAGGTCGGTCGACGGAGACTTCATACACGCTAACGTGGATATCGACCTCATCATATCTGAAGACCCGGAGTTCGGCAGTACAGAGAAGCCTATTGAGATATTTCACATCATGGAACATTTCTGTTTGGGTCGGAGAAGGTAAATGTTGATCAGTATTACTTTAATATAAAATACTCATACATCAATAAGAGCTTAAATAGCATGTTCTTTGGTTTTCGCGTCACGTCAGCTCCGTCGTCTGCGACCACGAAAACTAAGGCATTTGAAACGTCGCTAATAATATGTATACTAACGACAACAAGTAATTTTAACTATTAATGACTATTAGTGACGTTGGAAAACATTTTTCATAAAATATGTAGCTTACATGTTTGTTTAGCCCACTGAGTATCTCGCCGGATATTCTCAGTGGGTCGCGTTTCCGATCCGGCGGTAGATTCTGCGAAGCACTGCTCTTGCTAGGGCTAGTGTTAGCAACACTCCCGGTTTGAGCCCCGTGAGCTCATCTACACGCTAGGGTAACCTTGATATTATCAGCTGATTGCTGACGACGTGGCTGAGACGTGATTATAGGGTGATAATTATTAACAAGACACGACAGTTTGCAACCTGTCTGTTGTGCGACGACTCGACACAGACTGTCTAAGCTAAGCCCGCTACACATCTATATGAACACATTCTCAGGGTACACCTGTTCGGCAAGGACTCCACGATCCGTCCGGGCTGGGTGACGATCGGCCACGAGCTCACCAACTCCAACTTCAACGCGGAGCTGTACTCGTCGTACTTCGCCGAGGGCCGCGAGAGCACCGGCTGCACCGACAGGATCGAGGCCCTCAGGCCCAAGAGCCCCCCCAACACCAGCAAGGGCACCCGGGCCAGGGGCAGGGGCGGGTTTAGGGGCAGGGGGAGGGGCAGAGGGGCTATCTAACTAATCTAGATTGTGAATCGATTAAAACCTAGAGGTTTCACTTGTAATCTCGCATGTAAAACTTCCTACTCACACAGACATTAAGTAATAGAATGTTGAGAAAAACAAGGGGTTTTAATAATGTTTTATATACAATACGATCACTCCATCAATCGTTTATATAAAATATTGGTTGGTGTTCCGTCCCGTAACAGCTTCTTCTACAATACATATACCTATTTATATTATTATTATTATTTTATTGTGAATAATTTCTTTTTTTTTCTGTGAGTACGTAATACGAAACAATTTGATTTATATGCATTATTAAATTCTTATTTATTTTGTACTGGATCTGCGACATATTATTGTGTGGATCGGAATGCATCATTTCCGTGGGAAATGGTTCCTCGACACGACACTAGCGCCGCCACCTGCCCGTCTTTTAGACAATCTGTGCTTTTAGCGCGGCAAAAAAACAAAAACAAAGCTTGTTACGCTAAGCTGCTTTCGCCGCGACGGCATGCATATAAATTTAAAATAGTGTGTAAAGTTTCCCCTTTCATAAAAAAAAAGAATTGCTGAAAATTAAGAATGGCTGGACTGATTCTGCAGGCAATACTCATCCTCGACCAGAACCCTCGGACGTGGTTGTGGGACGGTTTACGGTTAGTCGTCAGACCTAGGCCATGTCCTAATCAGATAGTATTTTAAATCACTAAATATAGTTCAATAATTGTAACGTTTTTCACGTCATATGTGTCTGTATTTAATCTCTAATGAGAGTTGTCCGATGAAATATTAGGAATGTTTAATCTGTAATGAGAGTTGTCCGGTGAAATATTGTGTTTATTATTGTGGCAACATCTTACGTATTGTTAGTCTGCCTTATTTATTGATTCGATAAAAATAAATCGCGGTTAATGCTATGTACCGGAGCACTGACGAACAACCTGAAGTTGACATCTTGTTTTTTTTTGTGAATTGATGCGCAAGTGTAATATTGTTATAAGAGCCTCTTCTACAGATATCGGATTAATAGATATCAGTTACTGGTCATGTAGGTATCTAATTCACAAATTTACCAACGATTTCGTTATGAGAAAAAATGTGAGGTTACTTGGATACCATTTCAAGCATGACATTGTAAACATTAAGTTAAATTGGACTCTTGAAAAATTCAGAGGGAAATAAAAAAATTAGAATTTTATAAAACTCATCATACCATGAATATAATAATGATTAATGTAAGATATCAGGAAATTCAAATCTGACAAGTTCGGGTGCTGTAGCTACCTCTTTTTTGATACACAATAATATGTAAAATCAAATGTTCTTTAAAAGACATTTATTTCACATTTTTATCGTATCTGACATCCGTTTTATATTTCAAGACTTAGAAATTTAAGAAAATATTCATCTAATGTAAACATTTACGTATTATTTTAAATAATAATGAAATAAAAAATACATAATTTAATAACTGGTTTTTTTCATTACCTGCTTACGACAAACTCTTGATCCTCAAACTAGTAACTTCTAAACCTAGACTCCGTTAAAATTGTAATTAAAAAAGACAAAAGCTATCAGCGTGTAGTATTGCAAAGCGGCTTCCATTGTTTTAGATTAGAATTTAAACTGCTGTTTCGTTCCCGCGTCTTTGGTTTTTTTTAACACTAAACACACCACAACGTGTCAAAGGACTCATTTTGAACTTTTGCACTAAAAATGCATGTATCATCTTAATGCTTTTGCACATTTGACTTCTAGACTTTTTCTGACCAATACTAAATAATCTACAGTTATTGTTGGGACTTCCTTTTCCTTATTTTTTCCTCGATCTGCTATCCACGCCATCTGTTGACACTTTAAAAAGAACTACGCCTGTGAAAAACGGCGCGAAGTGTGTGAAAAAAAAACCTAAAAACATGGCGCCGGTGCAAAAACGATAAAATTGTGTTTTTTGTTTATCAATCAGCACTTATAAGTCTCGCCAGTGGGAAAATAGAAAAGTCCAACAACGAACTACGGAGTGAGTCCTAAAACTTATCCTTTTCTCAGTCCTAAACATAAATTCAAAACAGTTATTAATCTACTTTTTTCGTTTTGTTTTGTTTATTACTACTTAATTACGTAGTAATACTTGTCGTTTACCGTTGTAGACCCGCTATGGTAGAAATAGGTATTAGTAAGTGTTGATATGATTAAGTGAGTCGTCTATTATCAAAGCCGGCAATCTGACTTTTGGACAATGATTGGTAAATCAGAAAAACGAATTATTGACTTTGTATTCCATTGGCAGTCACAAAACTCTTCGGAACGACATCTTACATAAATAACAGGTTAACTATTAACCTATATTTAATGCAGGTTTTGAACCGTATTCTTTGAAGGACACGATTATATTCAAATCAATCTGAATTGACATATCAATAAAAAAAATTTGTCCAAATACACAGATTGCCACCTTTGATAATAGACGACTCAAGTGTTAAAACAATCCTCCAACCATATCCTATTAAACACTAGAGCTGATGTATTTTTAACATTATATAGAATTCACTATGAAAATAAAAGATATACCTGTGATATTTTACACAAAGCTTCTACAAAATACCATATTCACAATAATAATGTACTTTTTCAGTACAAAACCGACCGGATAACACAGATTTTTGATAACCTGTAAAATAAATGCGATGTAGGTATTTACACCGGCAGAAATTAATAAAATGTATTGTTAATAGTTTAACTTTATGTACACTTAATTTTGTACCTTAAGTAGGTATTACAATTTTACAAAACACACTAATAGCTTTCGCTGATTTCATGTTCGTAAAATTAATTCTTGAATAAATATTGATGTTGGGCAATTTTTTTCAGCCAATTCCATGCAGTCGCCTCTAAACGTCTAAAGACACTGTTTTATTCTCTCGATTTATTAGAAAAGAATTTCGGGGGATGGACTCATTCTTGGTATTAGAAAACATATGCCTATTTCTGCCGTGAAGCAGTAATGCGTTTCGGTTTGAAGGGTGGGGCAGCGATCTTAGAACTTATATCTCAAGGTGGGTGGCGCATTTACGTTGTAGATGTCCATGGGGTCCAGTAACCACTTAACACCAGGTGGGCTGTGAGCTCGTCCACCCATCTAAGCAATAAAAATAAAATAAAAAAATATTCTAGATTTTATCGAAAAACCGTAGCTGAAATTAATTGACTGTATATACATAGACTAGTAATTTTGGTAAAAAAAATCATTTCAACAATTTTGAATAAAAATGTTACTAAGCTACATTTCTATTTCCTGTACTTCAATTTGCGTACCATCGACTGGATACTTTTAACAAATTACTGTATAAACGACAACCAGGCTTTTGCCCGCGACTTCGTTCGCATGGAATAGTTTTGGAACCTTTGGGATAACGCAAAATTTTACCCGCGACTTAATTTACCTACGTAAAAGGTGAAAATATTTTTGAATAATAGAATGTTAAGAGGAATCGTAAATAAAACAAACAAATTATATACATCAATATATTTTACATTGTTGTCTTTAAATCAACTCGACTATTCCGAAGTTCCTCAAAATATAAAAAAGACAAAACAAAAAATAAGACATATGAGATCTTTTACTTACTAATAAGAAAAATTTACATTTCATTAATTGCGGAACTAAGAACATCAGAATCTTATTATTCAATCTAAAAAAATTATTGCGGAGAGGGCTTTACTGAAGTCGTGCGTTAATTCGTTAAAAATTAAATGCTACCAAAACCATCGATAAAAATGTTCATCGCATCATATTGGCAACATTAACTAGCACGTGCAACATCATATTTCATCAAAACAACACCAAAAAAAAATTATTTAAAAATATCGACAAATAGAGATGTGGCAACGTCAAGACATCAAGCGAACTATCGACTACTAAAGCCCTTTCGCGTATCGGATATTCAATTGACAGCAGTTTTTTTTCTTTTCTTTCAAATCTTCACTGAGCTTATAACATCGCACATTGATAATGTAATCCTTAATATATTACATAATTCACTTTGCTATCATTATACAAGGCATTTTTTTTTTCATACTCGCCGGGGACACAGAGCTTGTCAAAAGATGTGAGGCTGTGAACAGACAGTTAGTTGCGCTAAGTTGACAATGGAGAATGTAAATAACGTACATTATGTAAGTTAATTTACAAATACAGGACTCAATCACGCCTTAATTTCTCATTTCAATACTTGAGGATCTTGAGGCCCTTAAGGTCGATAGTGAAACGCCGCGGCATCTCAGCTATTCGATCATTGCTTCAAGGGGAACTTTTTGTGAATTTCGACGCGATCTTATCGCTTTCTATTTGTAAATCAATCGTTCGAAACGCGAAACAAATACGTAATTTAGTACAAATTCTGCGTCCGAACCGTGCAGTGACATCCTTTAGGTATAATCGTCATAAGATCACATTTTTTTATAAGGCAAACAACAATATTTAAAGCTACAACTTTGATGAGTGGTGCCGCATCACTAGCCGCGACGAGGCGCGCTGGTAGTACCGTTGCTAGGCAACCAAACAACTTTCGTTTTTTTATTAGCAAATGGCAAACGAGGAAGCGGTTTAAAGTCCTTTGCCCATGCCATCAATGTAAGATAGCGTAGCTAACGGCTGTCAGCCGTGAGCACTCAAACACACTTCCGCTATGTATATTTGACTTTCGCAACTAAACATGTACCTACTGGTACTTGATCTATTTCGATGAGGTTCGAGTTATTTGCTTAAAAACATTTGCCTTTATTTCACCTTCAGATTAATTTAATGTATTATATTATAAAGACAGTAATGTTATCTTGTAAGAGTTACAGTTAATTCCATTTTCAAAAACCAGCGATCGCCCCATCGAGGAACCCGAGGATCGAGTGAAAATAGAAAAAAAAAAGAATAAAATTCGCGTGAAAGAAATATAAAAAAAGTTTCGAATTACTTGGAATGGGGGTTATTTTAATACTAGAGGTGGCCGTTTTATTATTAAATAACATTTTAACTATAACTTTTAATCGTTTTACTTAAAGAAAAAATAGATAAATGACTTGGCTCGTTATCGTCTAAACGGCGACGTAACAAACCAAATCCTAAATTTGTACTTGATTTTATAATAAACACGTATTCAAAAAAATAATAATGAAACAGGACGCCAAATTGATGGTGCGATCCAATTAATCAATCGACTTGTAATATAACAAAAGTACATGTAATATTTAAATATATTTTTCATTGTATTTACATACTCCAACCATAGACAAGCTACTTGAATAAAATTTGCTGAAATAAGAGAAGTGAGTCGAACAACGTTACGATTTAAAAAATACAAAAAAAAAAACAACTAAATTGAAATTAAATGGAGAGAAGAAGAAAAAAAGTAGAAAAACAAATTCATGACACTTAATATAATACGTTTCGAAAAAAAAAAAAAAAGCTGAAGTATTTGTGTGACTTCTCCTTATTTATAAAAGAAATTTTTAAAACAAAAAGTATTTAATTAAGTCTAAAAAAACGAATTAAATTTTGATTAATATTATTTTTTCATTTAGACCGCTCCTATGACGTTAAATACCCTGGTAGTTTTCCAATTATAGAGCATAATGCGACTCAGTAACGCACAATGCCGAATTATGCTGAAGCTTAATTGGAACGTGAATTAGTTTTCAAATGCATCAGCAGAGTGCGCTAAGTTAGCACAGTTTTAATTAACATTGATTATTTCTAAGAAACTACGACGAAACGAAAGCCTTACAATTTTTTTCAACATTAAATAATATTATTAACGATAATATAAACAAAATTTCGATCAATGCCAACTTGAAGAAAAAACACTTGTCAATTTTCTGTCACTGAGTCGGTATCGATCGCGAGTATCACGCGAGAGCAGTACTTTTGAGAGTGCTCGATTGTGCGAAGCGTTGCTGTAGTTGGAACATTCAACGTTGAGCATTATGCCGCATAATGCGCTCTTGTGCTGTCATTGGAAAACTACCCCTATCTACACACGATCTAACCTAACTCACTGTAAACATTTCTTAATCCCCTACTACTTACTATCTTTACACTATGGTCGTTTCAAAAATGCTAAAAATGTAACAAAAAATACACTTAAAATCGAGCAGGATTCTATTCCGTTAATCCGTATTCACAATAATTGCATTTTTGATACAACCACACCCAGCCCGTTGACGGTCCAAATTCAGTCTTGCCATACAATTTTAATATGGATCACCTATTGCAGTGAATTTGTAATGTTTTGAGAGCATTTTTTTTATGCTGACAACACTAGTCATGGTTTTGAAAAGAAAAAAAATACAAAATTCTTTTGAAACTGATGTAAGAGGTTTTTTCCGGTAACAAAAATAAACGAAAATCAAATAAATAAAGTAATCATTTTTAGCCGCATCATTTACTATTTTTATTGGTAATATAATGTATGACATAATAAGACTTCTAAGAATAATAATGTGTTCGTCATTTGATTTTCGATATATTTCTTCTTCTGTGATGGAAGCGAGTGGCGGGAAAATATTGGCGGGGAAAAAAATATTCAAACATTACACTGTACATATTTGGACCGCCAACCAAATCGAAGGCCGTTACATCACATTATTCGTGGACTCTTATTCCCTCCCTTAAACGTCATAGAAATTAAACATTTTCATGAAAGATTTCGAATTGATTCGATCATCAATTTATTTAAAGTGAAAATATCGGCAAGACAACACATAAAATTTCTTCAATAAAACACCCAAGTTTCAGTGTTGCAAATTGTGTCCGAAATTAGACAAAGTTTTCACTCTGCTTAATATAGATTCGATCTATTTTGAAAGCATTAAGAACAACTGTCATTGAGTTATTGTTTTATTGCTTCAAACGCGAACACAGATTCATCGTTATCTAGCGTTAAGCAAGATGGCCGTCTCAACGTCATTTTGTCTCTGCAAGCGCGAATGTACACTTTTCGGGTTTAAATGTATGTAAATTAATGCATTTTTATTTCCTCCTATACTTTATCATTGTATGTTGTAAAATTCGAACGCTAAAATTCTAACAAGAGCACTGATTAATATCCCGAATCGCTTAGTTTTCTCGTGGCCAACCACAACAAACATGTCTATTACATTCTAATTTAATTATATTTAATATTAATTTGTCCCAATTACATCAGTTCACAATCGTGATTCCGAATAAGAAGGTAGTTTCATTTTAATTTAATTTGGAATATTAATAAACCCAATTGTAATACGCGCTCTCAGTTGATTGATCGGTACGAAAATTTCGACATGAGCTCACCAATTTCGTCGACAACCGTGCACCACAACGACATTAGAGACAGTGGATGAGGCATTAAATATCTTTATGCTCTTAATATTTATGATAGGATTCCTTTCGATTGGTCTAAGAACTATAAACATGCAAAATACGGGACTGCGTTTCCCTATAAAATATTGTCTTGTAGAAAATGAAACCCTATTTGTTGTTATTCTGATGTCGCTACAGACTAAAGTTGAAAAACCGCGTTATACGAATGAATCACACAGCCGATGCGCAGCCGAGCGAGATAAAAGATATTTAGTAACTGAAACGTACTAATTTACATCAGCATTAACACGTCTATCAACAAATTTATTCAGAATAATTAAGAAAAAAAAAGACAATAATATTTATTACAAAAAAAAAAAAAAAAACTTTTACAAAGTTAACATTCATAATCTTTCGATGTTGTGTATTTAAATAGAATTTAACTTAATTTTGAATGCATAGGTGTCTGTACAAATACCAAAAGTTGAAGGTAGTTACAAAACTCGTTGAAAAGGAAACATATTCGTGGTCGTAACCCATTACTTTTTATGTATACATTTGATTCTAGTTAGAAAGACGCTTGTACAAAGATTTTTCAATCTACCCACAAATCTAAACATCTAACGAAACACTAAGCCGTACAGTTAAAGCTATAACATCAAACCTTTGTATTTTATTGAATCCGTATTAACTCCTGCTTCATATATATCGGACACATCTTAACATCATTCATGTATAAACTTTGAATAAGAATCTTAGTGGTGGGCAATATCACGCCCTTTCGGCTTTGCGATCTCCTTACACCCTGTACATGAGGTTATTTTTGTTTCTCATAATACAAAACATCTAAATATCTAATGCATAACACCATAAACAGAGTTCTGTGGACCACGATTGTTATACGGGTTGCAGACCAAGAGCTAAAAGCTGTTAGTTTAGCTTAGCTCGCATAGCTGACGCAGTCTTCCATACGTGTGTGCAGACCGCTAACTATGCGAACTAAGCTACGTGAGCTAACTAAAATATGCGAAGCTAAGTTAGTTGTGTAGGCCAATGTGCAGCTACACAAGCTAAGCTAAGCCCCTCTCGCCTTCCCCGCACACCCTTCGCCAGTACTGTCCGAAGTCTTTGTCGTATACGTCGTTTTGTAGCGAATAGGAGCAATTTATTGAAATTGTTAATCGTCAGCTGTGCGAGCTAAGCTAAACTATTATTGCTTAGATGGGTAGACGAGCTTACAGCCCACCTGGTGTTAAATGGTTACTGGAGCCCATAGACATCTACAACGTAAATGCGCCACCCACCTTGAGATATAAGTTTTGAGGTCTCAAGTATAGTTACAACAGTTGCCCCACCCTTCAAACCGAAACGCATTGCTGCTTCAAGGCAGAAATAGGCAGGGTGGTGGTACCTCCCGCGCGGACTCACAAGAGGTCCAACCACCAGTAAGCACCGACTTAGCTTAGCTCTTGGTCTGCAACCCGTATTAGTGTTGCGGGCCTTACTCTGCAGGGAAATCTGTAGTCCACACCCGCGCCGCAATGTAATGCAATGAGCATACGAACTCACTTCAATTGTACCGTCAGATGATTAGAAAAGTAAGACAAACGTTTTGTCTTTTCGAATCCACAAAACGAACAGAAACCATTCTGTCGATCCTACTCTGTCGAGACCACAGCCGTCCAGGCTAGGGATGCTTTCGGGACAAAATAAAAATACGACAAAGTGACCGTTTAAAATTGAATTGTTTTTTAATGTTCAAGGAAAAAGAATCGTCGACGGATACTTTCTTAGTCTATTTTTTTTTTTATTTAAATTAAAATCAGAAGTTTTTACATCAAATATATTCTGTGAATTAAACTTTATCTGTATTTGAACATATGTATTTTTATTATAAGTCCATACGAGCGAAACCAAAATAAAACAGTGGTTTGGACAGCCTTGGCCTAGATTATTCCAGTAATCTACATTATTAATGAAGAAATGTTAATTTATTATGTACAAGTATTCTATTTTTTCAACTCTAGTTAAGTAGTAAAGAGGAGATTTTACTAGAACTGTCAATTATTAAAAAAAAACCTAAAATCTAAAAAAAATCCATTCCTTGTCTTAAAACAGCAATTCGAAAAGTTTTTTTTCTTCAATAATTACATAACCGCAGTTACTTTGGGCTTTATTAAACTTAATAAAACCCCTTTTTTAAAACCGTTACACGTTTAACCTATTGATCGACGTTTAAATCTAGAGTATTTCTCGAACAAAAAAAAAAAACATGCGTGTTGCTAGTCACAAAAAAAATTTACCCCAAATATATTCTCGTAAAGCCTAAAAAAACAAAACGAAAATTAAAACGATTAAACGACGGCAGTTGTGAGATCTTCAGTTAAATATACAAAACGATTAACTGTCCGTACATTACTTATACAATTAAGCTGGTGGGTATTACTGCCTCGAGCACACGGCAATGTTATTCTTGTACAAATAAAAAAAAAAAAAAACGTAAATATACATTTATTATTTGTAATATCGCAATTAACTAACAGAAAGGATGGTGCACATGTATGTCTATAGAAGAAAATTGTATTCATTTAATATTTTGGCAGATTTAACGTTGGTCACAAATTTTGAATTAATCGCGTTCATTTATCGATACGCTTTTTTTTTTTTCAACTAGAGCGAACGTTTCGATAAATTAATTTTTCATGTCGATAAACGAACAAGACAAGGTCGATGACTCTATAAGATGACAATAGAGTTGCCCTTTAAATATATAAAATTTACGAGAACTTAAGAGCACCACCAAAAAAATTGGTTCCCTATTAAGTCCCTATTTCGGTTTGTTTTTTATTTATTCAAAGTCATAACCAGTATTTCTGATTAATTAATATTTCATCGATTACAAAAAGAAGACAATTACACATAATAGAAACGTGTTTTGTATAATAATATTTCTAGTTATCATATTTATATTTTTCATTGAGGATAGGCGGATCAAGGTTTGACTTCGTTCGTAAAAAAATCTATATTATGTGAATTTTACAATTAAATTGTATCGACAAGAAATCGTGTTGCAACACTAAAACATCGATTAAAATCGATTAGTTTTGAACGGCACATCTCGTAAACGATTTAATGACGAACTAATGAAATTCACTTCCGAATGAGCAGTGATCAATATAAATGTCGACTTTTTGTAATCCTAACAATGAACTCTAATGAATAATACACCAAAGTGAAAACGACATTTCATACAAATACACTTATCGCTTCGAACAATATATGTCTCCGCATCACTTTTGTTTATTTTTAAAAACCCATACATTTTGAATTAAAAAGAAAAAAATTCCTCAACACTGGCCGGTATTCTAACTAACACCTACGCTATTTCCTTCAACAAAGTAAAAAAAGTACCTTAGTCTGAACGCAAATTTTTCAAAGTCGATTCTCGCGCGAGTCAAATACGGGAACACGTCAAAACTTACACCTCAAAGACACAATTGAAAAAGAATTTGAAAAATTTTCGTTCGATATTTTTTTTAATATTTAAAAGAACTAAAAAGAGTATAAAAAAATCTGCCGTACAAACTCCGAGGGCGGCGAGCGGGTGGCTCTGCGACCAAGTTGAAAACAACACCGCGACGTATATATCGTACAGTTAAAAAACCGACAACTATACATGTCCGTCATAAGATTTGCGTTGTAACATTTAGATGAGAACCTACCTTGTGACCAGCGTGTGACAGTAACCGTCGAAGGCTTCAAGTACGAACAGATTACGAAATACGAAAAAAAAAAAACATCGACGCATCGACGTCTAGTACCAAGATTGCATAGTTCAATAAGTCTTTCAGCACACATTATTATCACAAGTTCACGATCGAACCGTTTCCTTTATCCGTCCGCACGCGGCAATGGCACAACCCGCTTATAATAAACTCTACACAATTGAAACACACACAAAACACTAGTTCGACAAGTTCAGTAAAGGCTCCGGGGAAGTCTTGCACCGCGCGTGAAGCCTCCGCCGCGGCGAGGGAGAGAGTGAGCGTACGTTACATTGGAGGACCGGGGAGGTTCCGAGCCGACGGGCCGCCCTCACAAGTACGTAGATTCACCTGCAACGCAAGAAACCCTACGTCAGCTAAGTTCACATTAATCAGGGCCACGGACAGATTTTTGTGCGATTATTCGAACTTTTGAAGGGTACTTCGTAAAATGTATGAAAAAATTAACATCATGTCATCTAGATATATACAAAAAATTATGTCACTTTTTTGGAATAAGACGCAGTTAATCTTATTTAAACTTTCAATTTTTAAGCAACATAGCAATTATTATTAAACGAATCTAACAGAAAAAAGTTAATCGTCAATTATTTCTGATTAAATCACAGTCGGAAGTTGACAATAACCATTGCCTAGATCAACGAAAGTTTAATAAGGACTTTTAGTCTTGATATCCTCAAAAATTTAAACATCTCTGTAATAATATTATATTGTCAAATTATAACATACTAAAATTGATTTTGTGATTATATGATGACAAAAATCGTTCAAAAATCCGTATGTGGCGCTTGTTAAGCGTTGACTGCAAAGCGAGCGGTGTATGTACATGATGTTAGAACAGAAAATATAGTTAAGTGTAACCATAACGTGATCCACGAAAAGAACAAAAACACTATGACAGCTACTGATCGTGTGATATACAGTTTAGTTAATAAACATAAAAAAAAATATGGAACGATCGTACGTTTATAGGCATGCGCATTTGACCTGTTTCGAAGCACAAGAAATCATCATGAATACACGAATTATGTTCAGCAACATGCAAAACAGCTGACTGTACGTGTGTAAACCGAGCAACTTTAGTATCATTGACACTGCCATGCTAATAGCCGACAAATGGTGTATTCATGATGTGTAACAGCGTATCGTACGAAAAACACAGGACGAACACAATGTAAGGACAAACACAGCAAGCATCAGTTAAAACGAGAATTTTAGAATGATTTCAAAACATATGTATATATAATAAAAACGAATGGACTTTGCAAGCGTTCACAATGAAGGCGGGTAATGGACAAGAATTTGAACGTGCTTTAAAAACTAAGTTAAAAAAAACTTTAGAAACACAATTTGTGATCTCCCGCATCCATCAAATGTAATAATATAAACGCAATTATTTTGCCAAAAGTTTTTCCAAAGATTCCATAATGTTATATCGAGGGGTGAAAGAAAGGTTAATTGGTTTTAGCGAAATTTTTGCAACTTCACACGAGAGAGCTATTTAAAGTTTAAAATTTCGAAAAAAATATCAATAAAAAACATCTTCAGCTTTTGAATGGGGTGAATTTAATAGAAGTTGATAATAATACCAAATAAAACGGACCTTTAGTTACAAAAACAAATGTCGCCCAAACTAAATAGCCTTTCACCCCTCGATATGAGTTATATAGAGCTTAGAACAGATAAAAGAGATCACAGATCGATTGATTATATATATATATATATATATATATATCGGGCGTTAGGAGACCGCTTCCGAAAACGAAGACAGACGATAGTACTAATGACACCTTTGTTGATGGGACGGAACACAATCGACCCTGATTACTATTTTTTTAATGTTTTATTAGAATTATTTACGGTCCATCATGTTAGTACAGCTAAATGAAAAGATAGGTTCATAAAAAATTCATTACTTTACTATAAAAAAAAACCAGCAATGAAACACAAAATCGAAAACAGCTGATGCTCGGATCAACGAACGCTTGGGCGCGGCGCGGTGCAGACTCGTGCGATCGCACAAATACTTATTTACCACATTTGTCTAAATAACTCCATCATCCTATCATCATCATCGTCTGCCTACAAAGGCAATAAAAAAAAAAAAAAAACCAAGGTATCATTATAGTACGCGTGGAACTAGTTGGCCGCGCCTTAGGAGGCGACAGGGGTGAGGGGGCGGGTCGCCTACTGCTCGTAACGCACATGAGATTAGACAGTGATGACTAAATAAAAAATCAATAAATGAAATAATAAATAAATAAAAAACAATTTAACTTTTAAAAGTTTAAATTGTAGGTACAATCTAATCTAACTATATTAACTCTAACTATATATTATATCTAACTATATATTGTAATTAATAGTAAAATAAACCAAAAACAAATTAAGTATGTGAAATTATTCTGACATATTTTAATGATATATGAAATTATTTAATTAATACATACTTATATGAAATTACTCTGACATATCATCTGAATCACTAGATACTGAACTCTCTGAACCTGATTTAGAATTATCTGATAAGTTTATAATGATTTCGTCTATCGTAGTATCAAATCTCATATCAGTAATGACAACAAGCGCCCCCCCTCTTCGGCCCACCCGCTCATACCTAAAGCCGCTTTCAGACTTCGCTATAATATAATAGCATATAGTATATAGCTCATAGCACAACAATATCGCGCGCCATACATTGTGATGGACACGTTCACAATGTACTGTGAGGGACTTTTTGGTGGGAACGCGAGGAGTGAAGTTTTGTGATTTGTTTTATTTTGTCTATTTAGTGTTTCTTCGGGTTTAAATGTGTAATAACGGTGGTTTATTAACTGTTTAATATCTGTGAAAGTTCACAAATGTGGGAAAATTAAACAAAGCCGTTGTACGTAACTTCTCGGGATTCTCTAAACAGTCTACTGAAAAAATCTCAGTAAATGACCACCATTTTACTGAGATTATATTTCATCTCATATCATCTCATTTCATTTCATTTCACTGCATATAACTATCATTTTTCATAACAATAAGAATATAAATTAAAATAAGATATGACTCAAAGGTCTTAGTTACCAGGTCATAAAATCCTTTTAAAAAAAACACTGGACTGTACTATATGTTATTTGCTAAGTTTACGCTGCTATATGAACTATAGTATAGCGTGGTCTGAAAGCAGCTTAAGGCGCGGCCAACTAGTTCCGCGCGTACAATAGTACTATCGTCTGTCTTCGTTTTCGGAAGCGGTCTCCTAACACCCAGTGTATATATATACATCTATATATATTTAAAACGTGTATGTATATTAGTGGATATAGTTACGTGTGGTCGGGGGACAGCTGCCGGTAATGGCCGACGCGCTCGCACACCGTCCCTGCGCGCATTGCTACAAGTTAGAACTTACAGTACTCGGGCCGGCTCTGCGTTTAGACCGTACCGTGAAATGGGGGGGGAATCGGGATACTTTTATAAGTTCGACATTGTTTTTTTTTTATAGTAACAAAACGGAGATCATAATGGTTCCGGTACATAGTTAAAATTTTCATTTATAATGCATTAAGGTAGTCTATTAAAGAATAATCATAAAAAGTAACAAAAACTCACTTGTCCCTATTCAACCACGCGTTGGGTGAATCGGGTCGCTTTAAGGGACAGTAGAGTTTTTTGCTAGGGCTAGCACTATTTAGTTGTTAGGTAGGTACCTAACTTTAGGTAATAACTTTTTAATATATTTAATGAGTTACAAAACTTTAATGACTAAATTAAATTATTTATTATTATTATTAGACACTAAATAAGTCATTTTCAGTTCAACAAAGTTAAATCTAACCACCCAACAAAAGTATTGTGACAACTCAGATTTGTCCCTATTTTACCTCTAGGCCCTATTCCCCCCAATCTACCGTACGTTGGGAACTTGACGATACTATATCGAGGAGTGAAAGCCTATTTGGTTTAAGCGACATTTCAGTCAATACCCAACATCTATCTTTGTAATTAAAGGTCTGATTTATTTGTTATTAGCATCAACAGTTCGATATATTTTTCATTGAACTTCATTTAGATTTTCTCCATTCAAGAATTTTTTTTTTCCAAATGTTAAATTTTTAATGAGTCTCCTGTAAAGTTGCCAAAATGTCGCTTATACCCAAACAGTCTTTCCCCAGTCGATACCATAATTTCTTTTTCGTTCCTAATATATCTCAGAACATTGCACTCCTCGCGTGTAAGTGTCTTTCAAACAAATGAAATTTGTTTTTAGTTTATTGTCGCACAGAGTATTTATTATGCTTGCCGCACCTTACAAAACTAACGCGTTAGATTCTCGCATTCAAATTGAACGTGAATAAAATCATCCATTTGTACAGTGCAAATTAAAATCAGTATCGCAAGACTTTTCATTGCCCCCATATAAAAACAACAACAACGATGTTCCAACTTTAGTGCGAATTTTTTAACGTTCTCGATAGCGTAAAAGTTAACTCATGTTTTTATGGAGTCGGAACAGCGCCCCTAGCGGCAAACGAAGAGAAGCTTTTCCAACTCCATACAATTTATTTTTGTATTGTTTAGATGGTTGAACTAGCTCATAACCCACCTAGTGTTAAGTGGTTACCAGAGCCCATAGACATTTACGACGTAAATGCGCCACCCACCTTGAGATATAAGTTCTAAGGTCTCAAGTATAGTTACAACGGCTGCCCCGCCCTTCAAACCGAAACGCATTACTGCTTCACGGCAGCAATAGGCGGGGTGATGGTACCTACCCGTGCGGACTCACAAGAGGTCCTACCACCAGTAAAAAATTGAGTTAACTTTTACGCTCACAGTACACAAAAGCTACGCAGCTAACGAACGTACTATGCGGGGTAAATTACAATGAAAGAGGTTTCAACTTGAATTAATAATCAATTGGCTCTCATAGCGACACCAGACAAACCAGCTCCTAAGAGTATCTTCCAGACATGACAACCACACAGTAACTTATCAACTATTTTCAACAGCTTTGATAAACTTTCGTATCGCTTACTATCAAGCGAAATATATATTAAAATTATGTCTAATTCATAACTTATGATTTTTTTTTTCGTATTTAATCATCAGTCACCGTCAAAGCCTTAAAAGGTTACAAATCGATTGGTGCTAATATATACTTATGAAGAGCCTTGAATACTAGTAGGCAAGAATTTGAATGTTCATAGTGTGAACAAAGGTTTGTCTTACTGCTACGTGGCAGAAACAAGCATGTGGTGACTTTCCCGGGCGGGCACCAAGGACACCCTATCAGTCGTAAATAAGTAATTTTTATTGGTGGTAGGACCCCTTGTGAGTCCGCGCGGGTAGGTACCACCACCCTGCCTATTTCTGCCGTGAAGTAGTAATGCGTTTCGGTTTGAATGACGCGGCAGTCATTGTACTGTAAAAAATGAAAACTTAGAACTCATGTGTCGTAAATGACTATGGGCTCCGGTAACCACTTAACATCAGATGAGCCGTGAGCTCGTGCACCTATCAAAGCAATAAAAAAATAAGTTGCCTCGGAGCTGTATGAACAGTTCAAAGCGTCATTTGTACCAAGTTCTGTCACGTTACATTCATACTGGAGTCGATATGTACTAACTCACAAATTTGATAACGTTATACAAACTTAGTGATTCCGGGTTCAGTCAAAACTAATAACCGACTCAGCCCTTTTTATTCCTATCTATGCTGATTATAGCCTTGAGAGACTATGTCAGCTTCACCTTGACGTGTAGGTGAGCTCATGGGGCTCAAGCCGGAGTGATGCTAAAACTGGCCCTAGGAAGAGCAGTGCTTCGCAAAAACTACCGCCGGATCGGAAACGCATTGGTTGAGCTTTGCATTCGTCCAGTCACCGTCGAGCTCGCGGCTCGGTCACAGCGCGAGGGTGGTGGAGGGGGGCGGCGTCTCACCAGAGTCCCAGTTCCCGTCCGTCTCGGGGTCGGAGCCGACGGAGCCGGAGGAGGAGGACGAGGAGGTCGGCGACCTGGTGCGGTCGCACGCCGGTCTGTACGTCGACGAGTCCGGCACCTTCTCCACTATCAGCTCAACCTGTATATCAAACAAATTCATTTTGAAACAACCATCCGGCTATGGAATGAGCTCTCCCCTCCACGGTGTTTCCCGAGCGCTATGACATGTTCTTCTTCAAACGAGGCTTGTGGAGAGTATCAAGCGGTAGGCAGCGGCTTGGCTCTGCCCCTGGCATTGCTGAAGTCCATGGACGACGGTAACCACTTGTCTGCCTACAAGGGCAATAAAAAAAAAGGGCCGGAGAATGATGACATAGAAGGACGTGGTGGCTCAAGTGCCTGGTCACGGGTCGAGGGGTGGGGGGTGGGGGGTGTAGACAAGTAACAATTCGCTAACGAACCTTGAAGTCGGGGCTGTAATGTTTGTGTTGCTTGTCCTTGTGGGCGTCGTCCAGCTGCCACTTGTTCAGGGTCAGCTTGTACGTCTCCAGGTCTGGACCTGGAACAGCACGAGCACCCGCTGTGAGCGGAGGAGAATTGTTTGCTCTATGTCTGGTTGTTTATTATCTATATATATGTATATAATTAAACGCATATAAGTTCATATCAAGTCTCTGATCTCCTTGCTACAGGGAAGCTTAATTTGGGGCCGAATCACCTAACGGGGCTTGTTCCCGATTATAATTATTTAGTATAATGATTATATATCCCTTTAACTTTTCATAACGCATAGTATTTAAGAATAAATGAAGATATCACTAAAAAAGCATAATACAAGTAATTAACACGTTGACTGCCACGTAGGTCACCGGTGCCCTACGCGGCGCACTAGTAATTATATCGCTTTTCGATCTTCTTAATAAAGCACCGGAATATTTAGTAGACTCTGGGAAAGACGAATCCGAAGATACCGAGAACTATTTCTATATGACCTAAAAGACTAAAACGTACTTTAACAAACAAAAGAAGGCAAAGTTGGGCAATCCAGGCGCTTAGTAGCAGAATACGATATGATTACTTGAGTGCACCGCGTAAGGCACCGGTGACCTACATGACAGTCAATGTGTTAAATAATTAAAAGAAAAAAGAAATCGATGAGCAATTGAATTGCCAACACCCCGTGTAATTAAAGGCCTGTGGTAGGTGCTAGGTGGTTAAAGACCCAAAGTAGACAGTGTATAGTGGGTTGACCCACACATTCAAGTATCGCGGGAAGTTCAATTCGCTTTACATTGCCGATTTATTCAACGCTAAAAAACCGGACTCTTACAATTTCCACCGCTTACGCCACTTATGAACTCCGCTAAGGTCCCATGCGCTGGTCCGATCAGATTAAAACGACTTTGGAATCCAGCATCAATGTCGCTATCCACTGCGCGGCGGACAGGAGTGAATGGAGGAACATAGTCCTAACAAAAGTGCTCCGTAAAGGTCACGGCCCTCAGCACTGAGAAATACGACGCACGGAGGAGGAAGGTCAACTTAACCTTGAGCGGGTCGACGGTTTTCAAACCTGTTGAACTTAGTATCGGAATGTTATAGTTTGAGGCTCACTGTCAGGTAATGGCGGTATTCTTTGGGCTCCGACTTCGGCCGTAACGAAGAACGTGTTGAACCAGAAATGAAACAGCTTCTCTTTGCGCATCTTCATCTTCGGTTTGTTGTAGACGTCCACTCTGATGTCGCCGAACAGCGGCGTGCACTGCGTCAGGCAGATGCGGATGCTGTTCTCGTCTCGCTGCACATCCACGCATCCGGGCGGCGTCTGAGGTGAAACGTTTTGTTTGATATCCAATATTATCGGTATTAGCATCATCATTCTCCTGCCCTTCTCCCAGTCACCTGGGATCGGCGCGACATGTTTTCTACTTCCATACTCCTCCTATCATATACAATTTCTTCGCTCACTCCTCTCTTACACATATCGCCTTTCATGCATCCCATCCATTTTTCTTAGGTCTACCTCTAAAGCCTTCCATAATATTCCATATTCATACTTAACTCTTAACAACCCATTTAGCATTTAGGATTTGTCAAAGTTAGATAGATATAAGTCAGTTAGGGATGTTCGGGCCGACCTTGAGCACGAGCACGTTGTGTTCGCTGTGCGGGTCGGCATGCGGGTCGGCCTGGCACAGCACGAGGTCGGGCGGCGCGGCGGCGGCGGGCACGTGCGCGGCGGGCGGCGGCGACATGCGCAGCTCGCGGACCTGCACGCGCGCCGCGCCCGCCCGGTACGCCACGCCCGACCGCAGCAGCGCCCCGTAGTACTCCACGTAGCGCCGCTGCGACGGTATCGTCACGCCTGCCGACACGCGCACGTCACGACTCACTCAACCTTCTGTGTGTGCTTAGTGCGAGTTTTTTAACGGTCTCGATAGCATAAAAGTTAATCCAACTTTGTGTGCAGTTGGAACAGCGCCCCTAGCGGCAAACTTAGGCAAACGATCCCATTCCATACAAATATGAGCTAGCTTTTACGCTATCGCGAACATTAAAAAACTCGCACTAAGCACACTGTTTGCATATTCAAATCAAAACAAATAAAATAAAAATTCAACATAAATGAAAGTATAATAGCCGGCAAACTTCTTGAGCATTTGTTGACGTAGTGGGGGTAAGTTTGCGCATGGTACACTCACGTGCAAAAACATTATTTACTCTGCGTCATAATGCAATTAAATTATTAAAATCAACATATGTATTTATTTATATATTTATTAGAACATCAACAAAAAATATAGGTTAATAATTGTAATAATTTAATCTTGGGGTAAAATAGATATTCCTTCTATTAAGTCAAAACTAGAGCTGTTGCCAGGTCTTCGTTCAGTTGAAGCGAAGCTGGTATTTGTAATTTTTTTTCGTTATCATAATCTTGACCATTATCATCATCACTGTTTTCATCACCCGAGTCGCCATCATCGTGATAAGTCGACATAGGGCTCATCGGTGTAGTTTACGACTCGGTCGGTTCGATCTTCTTTTTTGTCTATAATTAATTATTTTTTGAAGATATTCGATTCGTAGTAATCGAATGTTACTTTTTTCAATTACCAGCTTCCGATTATTTTCTGTTTTTTTTTTCCATCTGAAGCCTAGCTCTTTCATAATTCGTCGTAAACTTCATTCCGAGCCATTAAAATGTATATCTTCTTTAAAATTTTCGAAGCCTTTCTACGGTACGGAGTTTCGCTGCTTGTTATGTAGTTATTATGATTACATCTTTTTATTACAGATTGAACGAAACTATCCATTCCGGTAACTTTCTTCTTCCCTGATCTTTTCTTACCCGGAGTCCCAAGCACGATGAGCAAGCCAGAGCCTTTAGCTTCGTTAATAATGCACCTAACAGTACTCACTGATGTTTTTGTTGCTTCCGAAGTCTGTTTTACTTTTTCCATAATATCATTCTTCCCCTGTTTTATAATGAAGCAATATACGTCGTACACAATTTTTCTACCCTTTTGAATACTACACCAGTTTGTCGCGGCATAGTGTATTTTTTATAAAAAATCAACAAACACTCAACAAATAGCAATGGCAACAAAGTCAACAAGCAATTATAACAAAATATAACTTAACGATTAATAACGATAGACTTTTCACTGTACGCAAGCGTACTTTTGGGAGCAAGCGGAACGAAGGCGCGGTGCGGGACGCAAGGTTCGACTGATCTACCAATAACGCGCTCGATACGATTTCCCCTGCCGTCGCGCCTCACCCTCACCACCAAAGTGATCTAAAATTCGGTTCTGCGCAGTCAAGGTCATTTGCTCACGATGTTTGCCGGTTACTATACATACACATACTTGTTGAACGTCAAAAAGAACTACCGCCAATTCACAAAAACTAGCCTCCGTCCTGAGAAGAACTGGCAAGAAACTCAGCGGGGATGTCATTTTTTTTAATATATATAACTAGTCAGGTCATAAGTATTGTCACACAGTAAAAACTTTTCTTTTAGAATGCTGGCCACAAAAAAGTTTATTGTATTCAAATTTCGAATTGTTCATGAAAATAAAAATGTATACTTTTAGGATTTTTACGCATTTTTAAATATGGAGTGGACGCTTAAAGAAGACCGTGTTGCAGTTATTGCGGTGCATCGTTGCGGTTACGCGCCAATTCAAATTTTTAACATACTGAAAAATTTTAATATAACCAAAAGATTCGTTTATCGTACCATCAAATGATACAATGAAGACTCTAGTGTAGATGACAGGTCAAGAAGTGGTCGCCCTCGGTCTGTTAGAACTCCAGCAGTGATAAAAGCTGTGAAGGCGCGAATTCAAAGAAATCCCAAACGTAAGCAGAAACTGTTGGCCCTTCAGATGGGGTTAAGCAGAACCACGGTGAAAAGGGTGTTAAATGAAGACTTAGGGATTCGGGCATATCGAAGAAAAACAGGACATCGTTTGAATGCTCGTCTAATGGACCTGAGACTGAAGAGATGCCGCGCTTTGTTGAAGCGGTACGCGGGAAAAAAATATCGGGAAATTCTTTTTTCGGATGAAAAAATTTTTACCGTAGAAGAGAGCTACAACAAACAAAATGATAAGGTGTACGCACACAGTAGTGAAGAAGCGAGCAACCGTATTCCGCGTGTCCAACGAGGTCATTTTCCATCCTCGCTCATGGTATGGTTGGGAGTTTCTTATTGGGGCTTAACAGAGGTACATTTTTGTGAGAAAGGTGTAAAAACGAATGCAGTTGTGTATCAAAATACAGTCCTGACGAACCTTGTGGAACCTGTTTCTCATACCATGTTCAATAACAGGCACTGGGTATTCCAATAAGATTCGGCGCCAGCTCATAGAGCGAAGAGCACACAAGACTGGCTGGCGGCGCGTGAAATCGACTTCATCCGGCACGAAGACTGGCCCTCCTCCAGTCCTGATTTGAATCCGTTAGATTACAAGATATGGCAACACTTGGAGGAAAAGGCGTGCTCAAAGGCTCATCCCAATTTAGAGTCACTCAAGACATCCTTGATTAAGGCAGCCGCCGATATTGACATGGACCTCGTTCGTGCTGCGATAGACGACTGGCCGCGCAGATTGAAGGCCTGTATTCAAAATCACGGAGGTCATTTTGAATAAACTTAGTGTCATAAGAATCTATGTTTGTTAAGTTCATTTTGGTATATGAATGGTTACATAATAAATAAACTTGTTTCAATTATTTTACATTAAACATGTGACAGAATTTATGACCCGACTAGGTATATGTAGGTTCTGAACATCTTGTGGGATCTTGTTGTACAGGCGCACAGACAAACACCCGAATGAATTCAACAAGCAAGAACTCTACCTTTCTCTAATTGACTAATGGTTATAGACTTATCCTCCCCTAAAAATGGCCGCAAATACATATGAGAAAAGATCACGTATAGATAGATAGATATCCAGACCGCGTAAAACAAACATATTTTACACGGCTGCTGTTGAGGTCATTCGTGAACATATACGTTCAGTACATATTTCGTCAAAAGGGATTTGAAAATTTTAAATTTGAATTTGAAAGTCGCATCGCTCGATAAGAATACCCGGGCGTCTTATTCTTTAGGCCACGAAGATTTCAGAATGTTCGTATAACACGAGTTTATCTACTCTTATAATTACATAGCAATACACTAATGCGAATCGTTTTAAACAATTTACTAAAAAAAACACGTATGGCACTCGGGGACTGCTATTGCTAAAGCTATTGCATAGCATTTTTAATCAACTTATGCAATTATAATTAGACAAAAATAATTTCATATTAAAACAATAATAAAATAAGACCACACTATATTTATAGACATTAACAAAAGCAAAACATTAGCTGTCCCCTTCACACTCATAAGCTAGACCGCGCGAGAGAGAGATGGGCAGACTTTTCATGATGCGCATGCAGTGGACGTTACGCCGCGCGCTTATTCACAAACACTACACAAGCGCAACGTGTAAATGTCTACATGGTAGACGGAGTGAGGGCTGTTAGGTTTTATTCGTTACGGAATTTCTTGATTCGGTCGCCGCACTCGAAGCTCGCGATAAAAGCTATGCAATAGCTTAAAAATAATTAAATTCTAGAATATGAATATAGGCTATCTTACTTTTTATTATTATTATGATAACATAATTTATTTATTTATCCGTTTATATTTTGTTTGTCATTGGCTACAACGTCAGTCGCCGAGTTAAATTGAATTATCCTACTAAATTCGGATGCAATTTTAAAATAAATTAATCAGTTGTAGAGTCAGAGAGTCCACCAATCACATACCCTTTTCATCTAGAGTTCTCTTCCTGCCGTAGAACTTGAGCGCTTCGTCTGCATTAGGCTGGTCCCCGCTGTATAACAAATAACAACAGACCATTGTACCTGAAACGAAAACGCACACTAATATAATTTATTTATTTATTTTATCGCTTTGATGGGCAAACGAGCTCACAGCCCACCTGGTGTCAAGTGGTTACTGGAGCCCATTGACATCTTCAACGTAAATGCGCCACCCACCTTGAGATATAAGTTCTAAGGTCTCAGTATAGTTGCAACGTGTGCCCTACCCTTCAAACCGAAACGGATTACTACTTCACAGCAGAAATAGACGGGGCGGTGGTACCTACCCGTGCGGACTCATAATACGTCCTACCACCAGTAAATATTAATTCTTATCAAAAACATAACCGGTAAAGGGATATTTTCAATACTAAGAATAAATGGGAGTACGAGGATAAAACTGTAACGCGTTTCTGAGAATACCGGAAAAGGTGTACGAAATACCTTTATGTGCGACTAGCGACCCGCTCCGGCTCCGCTCGGGTATTTAAAGACAGTTTTTGTTAACAAAAATTTCAACGATATTTGACGTTGTTTTATTTTTTTTAATAAAAGAACACTTATTGCGGCATAACTACAATAGTTATATATATGCTGTCGTGACACTTTTTGTAATTAATAATGTGTTCTACAAAGTCGTAGTACATTATTTTATTCTATCATCATTAGTTTTCGCAGGGCACCTGATGTAAATAATATTTTAGGTAATTTACACATTGGGTTACATAATTGGAGTTTTAGTAAAGATCCCTAATTTTTTTCAAAATAGAATAAAACGTATGTCTCTCGGGATTAGTGTAGCTTCCAAACAGTGAAAGAATTTTTCTAATCGGTTCACAAGTTTCGGAGCAATACAAACAAACAAATCTTTCCTCTTTATAATATTAGTATAGAAGTATAGATTTCCCCGGCCTCTCGTCGTGTACGATAAGCACTCATTACGATGCTTTTTAGTTTGAAATTGGGCATTTGAGACATCGCATTTCGAGGTTATCAGAAAATGACACGTGGATGTGTCTGCGAGATGAAACTTCTTCTAACATAGAAGAGGTGACCGATACTAGAACAGCGTAGGTAAGTAATAGAAATACCTCACAATCAAGGAGGTATATTCAATGTAGATAAAGAAGACTTATTATATACATTAAAACTTTATCATATTTTGTTAAATTTAAAACTTATTTTTCAAATAAAGAAAATAAAATGTATATAAGAATTCAAATTACAATTTACATCTAGAGCAAGAAGCTGTGGAATCCACAAAATATCAAGTAATGAAAATCACTCATAAAGGAACATTTATAAAAGAAATGTTGTTACCCGCGGCTTTACCCGCGTGGTCAAGAAAGTGTTAATATGATTTTTTCTAGTTTTATGTAATTCTCCTTGACAGTTGGCCTGAGAATGAGATGTATTTTTTGGGCCAAAACGTAGCTCAGATCAATTTCTTGACCTTAAACTATAATCTTTAAAAAATCATGTCAATCTTTTGCTTCGTTTCGACGTGATAGGAGGACTAACAAACAAACACACCTTTACATTTATAACATGGATATTACAGAAGGGCTTCGTAAAAGTGTGCTAAAGTTCAATTAACGTACAAGGAATTTTCGCTTTTACCGCAAAAGGGACTGAGATGTTTTTCGTGTGGAACACAATGGTAAGACGCATTTCAATAGTCAATATAATGAGTTCTTGTAATTTTGTAGGTACCGAAAATTCGTTTGTGTTGTAAAGATTATGCAAACCTTTGACGATCTCGTGCTACGATATTGAATGATACTGAAATAATTTATTCTTTTCAACGTATAGATGGTGCGATAGCTTTTAGAATAAATTTTTTGAAGAACGTTTTAGAAGAATGCTTTTGTTGTTGTACAAAATGCGCGCAAAAAAACTTGGGGAGGACGATATTGTTTCTCTTAACTGACTATGCCAACGGGTTAGCAGTCGTAGGGGGTTTAGTGGGCGCTCGTCATGTTTATTACCAGCATTATATTTTTTTAAACTAGATTTTCGGGTGAATCGTTAGGAATACCCAGTAGCCAGTCCACAAAAGTGGACAATGCGTGAGAGAAATGGTGAACTCCTAACGATAGGACGAACCATAGCCACACATAAAACGCAAATTAGAAAGTCTTATTTTAACATACAAGCATTATAAATAAGGATAATAATATTTTTGACTGGTGGTAGGACCTCTTGTGAGTCCGCGCGAGTAGGTACCACCAACCTGCCTATTTCTGCCGTAATGCGTTTCGGTTTGAAAGGTGGGGCAGCCGTTGTAACTATACTTGAGACCTTAGAACTTATATCTCAAGGTGGGTGGCGCATTTGCGTTGTAAATGTCTATGGGCTCCAGTAACCACTTAAAACCAGGTAGGCTGTGAGGTCGTCCACCAATTTAAGATATAAAAAAAATTAAGGCTAGAATAGGTAGATAACGGCAGTTAATCAAACGAAAATTAATAATTTTATTCGTCCGTAGCAAACGTAAAATTGAGCAATCAGGGCTCGTATTATTGACGTATTCATTGTGTAACTTCAAGCTGTGATAAACGTCAACCAACATGAACTGATTGAGGATAATTATATCGGTGCGGCAGTCGGCAAAATCGTGACGTCATTATGCCAAGCGACGCGATGAACTCGGATTTATTGAGGAATTACATTAAATTTAATAGTACATTTTGACGTTTTCGGGTCAAAATCCCGATTTCCTCCTATATATTTGCGACAAATCAAGAGCACATTTTGAATTCGTGACTCAAGTAGGTCGATACGTCCAGTTTTAAGAGTAAGGTAATTATTTTTCCGATGTAGAAGACACTTCAAGTTAATAAAAATTTTGTTTCGAGCAAGAATATTATGGATAGCGGACATAGATGATATTTGTATTGGAGAGGGTAATAGAGCTACCGGTGCCATCAGTTCTGACGTTACATAACTCTACTGAAGGCACGACCAACGTGAGCAATTATCATCTTCCGTGACCCTCTTGGATCACAAATGCCGTAGTCGCTAGGATCTTTCCGCTCACAAAAGCTCTACAATCTGTCCTCTCCAATAGGAGACTTGGATGGGATAAGCTTCACGTCCATCTGACTATTAGCTCTGAACACCCACAGTCTTACTGTTAAGCATTTTTCTATGCCTATATTAAAATTTCCTTTCACAGGTAGACGAGCTCGCAACTAACACTAAATTGAGTGGTAATAGTGACCCATGTTAATGCATCCATATTATGACAGCTCAATATCTCAATGAGGCACTCTACCATCGGCCTCAAGAGGATATTTCAGTCCTTCGGCAACATTGCCAGAAAGAGCGATGACAATCTTGAAAAATTGATGGTAGCTCGCAAGATTGGAGGCAAAAGATCTCGTGGCCGCAATCCAATCTACTCTGGATACCACCGTCTATAATGCCATACACATCGTCAAGAACAGAGGAAGATGGCGAAACATTATCCAGAGAAGGATAATTGGAGGAGATGGTCACGACCTTCAGACATGAGGAATGCGACTCAGGAAAGAGGAGTGACCCATGGTCATTACAATACCGCCACCCATCTTGAGATACGATACCAAAGCTTCCTGCGATTTTAAGGCCCACAGCACATGGCGCATTTTAAACGCGCAGTCGACGCGCATATACGCACTTCAAACGAGATTCGAACGAACCTTGTAACCCTAAGCACACGCGGTGACACGCGCAGATAGACTGATACAGACGCGTTGTAGTTCCTCGTAGCTTCTACGTTGCTTCTTCTAGCTTCTTCCAAATGCGCCGTGGGTAGTCTGGGTAGTGCGACGGCGTGAGCACGCGTCCCTCCTCTACCCCTCCTCCGCCTCTTCGTACGCGATTCGAACGCGCGTGTGAAGCGCGTTTGTATCGCGTTTTTTTTCGGCATCTACGGCTCGCGTTTTAAACACGCCGTGTGCTAGGGACTTAAAATTTAAGTTTTACATACCGGTCCGACCTTTCCCCGCTTTACAATGTACGACGGCAACGTTCCTTGTATCCGCACTGAGCCAACTGTGCACGTTCTCGCAGAATGGCTGTATCAGCTCCATGTGGGGAGGGGTGTGGTCTTCGAAGGCATATCTCTCCACCTGAAAGCAACGGTCGTAAAATTTATCAGCACCAACGAATCGTTGTAAAATTAGATTATATTCTATCTATCTTCTATCTATATATATATAAAAAGGAATTGTTGTTCGTTAGTCTCGCTAAAAATCGAGAACGGCTGGACCGATTTGGCTAATTTTTGACTTAAATTATTTGTGGAAGTCCAGAGAAGGTTTAAAAGGTGTAAGATAAGAAAATGTTATTGTTTGTTATGGCATTGTTACAGTTGAATTTTCCTAGCCCATAGACACACCCCACTTAGTTTCTCGATGGATCTTCTCAACGGATCGCGATTCCAATCCGGCGGTAGATTTTGCGAAGTACCGCTTTTTGCTAGGGCTAGTTGTTCGCCAATTCTCTCAGGTTGAACCCGTGAGCTCACCCACCCGTTTGCGAGAAGTTGAAAGGCTACCAGCGAATACGTAAAAAAAATTGAATTCCAAACTAAATTTTAATGCGTGTGACACTGACTACATTCGACTTTTTGAGGTATAGTCCCTATTGCTGAAAATCCTATTCGAGAGACCTTCGCGAAATCAAAACGCAAGCATAATACATTCAACCTCGCATAAAGCGCTTTTAAAGCACATAGCCGTACAATTATTGCAAATAATAAACGTATTATCTAATCAATAGACCACAATGCACGCGCTACACTGATACTATTAATTCCCGACACATAATTAATTTCCTCTAGACTTAGGTCACCAACAAACCTACTATCACAACTGGTATGAGTTAACTTTGAAACTGAAGTTACATATAGACATATTTTTTACCAAAACTTATTCCTCCTTCTTGTAATATTATTAAAAATCTTCGAACTTAAAATTCATGACAATTTAATTACGTATAGCATTTCTTCGGGATCATCACATTTCAAAATCCATTTTCCAATTTAGTGTTGTATTGTTCGTTCTTCGTTTTTCGCGAGATGTAGACATAAATAAAATTACTTTCTAGGTTTAATCTAATCTATCTTTTTTTGCTATTTTATTATATAATATTTTTTTAAACTACGACATTACATTGAATAGCGTAATCTTGAAACTGGCACGAGTCTGTATTCTAAACGAAATAATTCTCCCGAAAACATTTTTATGATTCTACCTAAGCCTTAAGAGGCCATTTGAGTGTAACCATAACAAGTAGGTAAGCTCACGGGGCTCAAACTTGATGATGCTGCTAACACTAACCCTAGCAAGAGCTGTGCTTCGCCGAATCTACCACCGGACCGGAAACGCGACCCACTGGGAAGACCCGTCGAGAAATTCAGTGGGCTGTGTCTGTGGGTTAATTTCCTCGCCGAGCCCTTCGTCGAGAGCAACGGGTTCGACGAGAACGATGACCGGTGCTTGAGGTACCTAAAAGCATCGTTAGTGGATCGGGAGGATCCAAAATGACGCAAAAACAATAAGAACATAGTTAATGGCTTGGCCAACGAGTGTTATAATACGCTATTAATATAACGCTACTATACTACACTTACTACGCGTACTACGCTACTAATACTACGCTACTATATAAGCTACTAAATTTATGTATATTGTCGAAGCGAGTCATCCACTGAAGTATGAAAGGTCTATGGAGGCATCGATTTCCAGTGGTAGCCCTCAAAAAAAAAAAATACTAGAAAGAAACTAAACAGATTTGTCTGCTCTTAGCATTCTACCCACGCTTTTCAGTCTACCCGCGATCGCGGCACTTGCCACAGCGCCGCAATTTCGAGAATCCATTACATGTAGTAAAAACCACTCAAACAACGGTGTTTATAATAAATAGAACCGCGATTATAACAATTAATATAAAAACAATTGACAAAACGTACAGACAGAATATCCTTGTCTCGTGTTTCCGTGCTGAAAATGATTATAAATCTACATCAAAGTGTGTGTGTGTGTGTGTGTATGTGTGACACGATTATTTCAATTTTATGCTCTTCTGTAGACGTACGCATCTAAAGGAAATTTCCTCAACCACGCTTCCGATAATGAGATAAACAAGACAAAGGCGGGCTTGATTATTTACGCGTGAAAGATTTCCTTATGAAAATTGTCTTAAGAAATAATTGACAGTTTACGTGCTTCTTTCATACAGGTAAGTTTATAATTACTAGTGGTTCCCCAGTAGTCGAAATTCGACTATAATTAATTGAAATTATAAGTTTGTACATTATTATGATTCTATTGTCAAAGACTATTATACTTTTATAATCACAGATTTCGCCAAGACTACCTACACTTTAGACCAATATTAATAAAGAAAAACCATATTTAATCTATTCTCAATTTGACCACTGATTTTATGCAATAAGAAAAGTTTGACATTAAACAAATAGTATGCATGCGTGTGTGTGTGTGTCAAATATATGGTAGTGTGTGTAATGTTTTCTTTATTGATTTAAAGTATCTTTTATGCATTATCTAAAAAAATATTAGCATTGTGTACTCTTTCTGTACATTCTCTATAAGTGTGAGAAATTTCATACTCCTCGGTCCGCGCAATTTTCGTAAAAAGGGGTACAAAGTTTTTGCTTCACGTATTAATATATAGATAATTACAGTGTCGTATTCTTCATCCATATCACGTGGTTTCCTTGGGAATATAATGCAGGTTTTGGCCGTGAAGATTCTTCAATCTAAAACTTCAATTCCCTAACTGTTGGCCCCGCCTGTCGGCAATTCCGACCGGCTCCCTATGTTTAACAGTCAAGGTCTTTCGGCGGTGAAGATACGTTGAGCTGACAACTTAATTTTAATGGCCAAAGTCATATAACACCAGAGAAATCATTCAACTTAAAAGATGCGCCGATATTAGCCTCTACTTGCTGAGACGGTTGGTGTACTACGAATATAAGCCGACTTCAATGGTGAAATAATGACATCGTGTAATAATATCTAATCGATAAACTGTCCGACTCAATGGTGCAGTAGATAGCGCCCCTGACTGTTGCGCCGAAGGTCGTGGGTTCGATTCTCACGTTGGGCAAACATTCTGCCATGAACATTTCTGTTTGCTCTTTTTCTGGGTATCTATTATCTATATATATATATATTTACACTTGGTAATTGGTTCTCAATTATTTACTAACTATAAAACTCATTTATTTTCGTAAAGGCTGCTTCGAATGCATTGTACAAACGGTCACCTTACCGCTTCTACCAAGGAGCCATCGTGCATTACGGTTTGAACGTCGCCAATACGCAAGAAGTTAGAGTCAACAATGAAGTCTAACATCCAAGGGTGAAATTCGCGTTTTGATATTTTATCGGCATTATATAATACACATCCATGGACCTGGAGCTCTTTGATGTATGCTAGCTAATTTTTTTTTATTGGTGTTCTTCTGCATTGTGTTCTACAAACGGTGATCCTAGCAGTGATACCGCGTTTACAGAGTTATCTTTTTTCTTTTCTTAGAAAGATAAAGTCAAGCCATCGAAAATAGATTGAACACAAAAAAAAACGTGATAATCATGTTTTTTTATTTTATTGCTTATATGGGTGGACGAGCTCACAGCCCACCTGGTGTTAAGTGGTTACTGGAGCCCTCTTGTGAGTCCGCGCGGGTGGGTACCACCACCCTGCCTATTTCTGCCGTGAAGCAGTAATGCGTCTCGGTTTGAAGGGTGGGCAGCCGTTGTAACTATACTGAGACCTTAGCACTCATATCTCAAGGTGGGTGGCGCATTTACGTTGTAGCTGTCTATGGGCTCCAGGTGGGCTGTGAACTCGTCCACCCATCTAAGCAATAAAAAAAATATGTTAATGAGCACCTACATGAAACAAAAAGTTTAAATTAAGATTAAATCACATAATAATTTCTAGGCTAGATTTGTAATAAAATAAAATAATAAAATAAGACAGATAAAAAAAAACATCTCCCGACACCACACATCGAATAAATATACATTTAAATTTATAATTATGTAATAAAATAATAAAAAACATTGGTTACTTTGCGTAAGATCGTACAATTTCACTGATATCTACTTTTCGGGGGACCGATAAAACCGGTCGGCGTGTAGGTATGTAATACTTGTTATTATTATTTTTTATTTATCTTTCGGCAACTTTGTTAATAATCTTTTTTTTTCATTTAAATAGTTATAGTCACCACCACAAGCGGCTCGATAAGAAACTTCATGTCCGACGTTAATTTTAATTAATTTCTCTTTATTGTATGTAATTGGTCATATCTACAAGTGGTAAGGGCGCGCATTGGTAAGCTAGCACGGATGGTTACCACGTCATTACGGATCCCCCGATCCATTCACAGTGCTTTTAGGTATCACAAGCACCGGTCACCGTCCTCGTCGAACCCGTCGCTTGCGACGAAGGGCTCGACGAGCAAAATAACCCATAGACACAGCCCACTGAGTTTCTCGCCGGATCTTCTCAGTGGGTCGCGTTTCCGATCCGGTGGTAGATTCTGCGAAGCACTGCTCTTGCTAGGGCCAATGTTAGCAACATTTCCGGTTTGAGCCCCGTGAGCTCACCTACATGTTAGGGTGAAGCTGAAATAGCCTCTCAAGGCTATCAGCATAGGTAGAAAAAAAAGAAAGAAAGATGGTTACTAATCATCCTGTCTATTTCTGTCGTGAAGTACTCATGTTTTTCGATTTAAAAGACGGAGAGATTACTTATACAATAACACAATTCAGAGTTCGACCTTCGTATCTTAATGTAGATTTCTAGACTTTCTAATAACCATTCAACATTAGATGGACCGTTTACTCGTTCAACTATCTAATTTATAAAAAAAAACTAGCCGCACTCGCCCGCTTCGCTGGGCATTTAAAATGAACATTATTATTTATTGTCATTATTATTAGGGAGTCCAACGCTCATATAAATATTAACCTATCCATTAAGTACATGTATTTTCTACATGGATACCAAGTTTCAAGTCAATCGGATGCATAGTTCAGTAGTTATAACGGAATATCCGTAAAAACCACTGTAGATTTATATATTAGTATAG